CCGAAGCGCGATGGGAGCATTGCCAGCCGCTCGGTTTTTCTTCGCGTTATGGGCGGCGAACAGGATCCAAACAGACTTTCGGAAACCCAGGGGACCAGGTGCCTGGGCAGCACCGCCCAACTGGTGGATCCGCCGGAACTCCGTAGACGGAGCATCGTGCGCCGACTTCCGCACGTCATGTGACGTCACGACGCTAGCGTGCCTCTGCGCATGGGCGCCGGGTTGCCAGGACGTCTGGTGAGGGGAAGCTCTCCAGATCAGTTCTCACCATGTTCTCAGCGTAGCGTTCGGATTTAGCTTTCTACCCCCGCAGCAAAATAATATTATAATCGTTTTTAAAAGATGGAAGTCTATGTTGTCAGTGACATCGCTAATATTTTAGCGCTTCTGTAAGGAAACCGGCGGTAAAATGACTGCAATGTGCCCTAGGAAAGTTGGGGCCGGAAGTGAAGGTGGGGAAAGTTATCCTCTGCGTGCCCTGATGTCTCCATCGTCTTTCAGTTCCCACTGCAACACAAGTTTGTCTGGCAGAGGGCAGAGCTGGGCTACGGAAGGCGGAGGGGAAGTGTAAGAGGGAATGAGGCCCCATGGCGACTCCAGAGTCTGTCTCCCACCAGCGCCTGTGGGATTTTCTGCGAGACCTGGGGTTCGGTGCTCAGGGCGGAGATAGAAGCTGCGGGACGTCCCGTAGGCCATTGTTTCTTGTCGGTTCCTGGAACTGCTCCAAGTCGTGACTGTACAGTCCTCGACCCACTAGCAGTCGCTACTGGCACCTTTGTTAGAGAATGAACTTCCAAAAGCTGACTTTTAAAAATACTTTTTAATGATTATTGATGTTTTAGAGAGAGCGGGAGGGAGAGGGATAGATAGAAACACTGGGGAGAGAGAAACATCAGTGGGTTGCTTCCTGCATGGCTCCTCCTGGGGATGGAGCCCACGGCACATGCTTGGGCCGTGACCCCGAATCACCCCAGTGACCAGGTTCGCGGGTCCCCGCTCAACCATGAGCCACACCGCCCAGGGAAAACTCTACCCGCTTTTAGTGTCAACTTCCTGCTCATATGTTTTTTCCATTGTCTTATTTCATCTGTCTTCTGACTCTGAATTTGACTTCGAAGGTATGTGTGCATATTGTGAGGGAAATTTAGGTTAAGGAGATCCAATACGTAACTCCATTTAAAGGGCACTCATAATACCTTGTGGTCCTACAAAAGGGAAGGGGTGTCCTAGTTGGTTTGGCTCAGTGGATAGAGCTCTGTGGACTGGAAGGTCCCAGGTTCCATTCTGGTCCAAGGGCACATGCCTGGGTTGCAGGCTTGACCTCCGGTAGGGGGCGTGCAGGAGGCAGCTGGTCAATGATTCTCTCTCATCAGGGATGTTTCTATCTCCTCCCTTCCTCTCTGAAATCAATAAAAATATATTTAAAAAAAGACACACACAAAAGGGAAGGAATGAAAATGGGCACCACTCAACCTCTCCAAGTTGTGGGCTCCCACTCTGCCTGCAGGACCTCACAAACACTGCAGATAAAGCCTCACCAGCAGGGAGAGTACAGTATAAATGTGTAAACTATAGTAGTAAGGCGGAATGTTTTTGTTCTTATTGCATAAGAATAAGTGCTAATAGTGGTTCTATTAGTTTCCATGCTCCACTTTGTCATGCTGCACATCTTTCCCATCAGGTCAGTGAGTGGTTGTGTGGCGCATGAAGCGCTCTATTTCCTCAGTATACATTGTCACTGGCTGCCTCTTGTCTCTGACTCTAGGAAGGGCAGCTTGGGGGGAAGCGACAGCTCTCAGGATGCTCAGAGCCATCATTAGCAAGAACCTTCAGCCAGCCCCTTCCCCTATCTTCTTTCACCATCCTCCTTTCCATTAGGATTGACTTTCTCTAAACATGTGAGAACACAGGAACAGGTGGCAGGGTTATTCCACTGATACTTATAAGAGCAGCATCCTTACAGTAGAGGGACAGCTGTTCTCTCTTTTATTTAGTGTAAAACTTAACTCTCCAGAGGTCTTAAATCTCACTTCTTCTTTTCATATAAGCGAGCTATTCTGCATAAAGGAAAGAATATGATGGTCAAAAACCATTTTCTCACTATAGTTTCATTAGTTTTATCATAGGAATTTGCCCAGATTCTGGCAGTAGGTTAATTCCAAGGATTAGTTTTTCAGATTGTGGATTGATTTATCTCATAAACCCCCATTCGTGTTTTTCTAGTAATTGTCAGGCGAATTTCTAGCCTAGTGCCATTTTAAACTCGATACCCAATAATTTGTTTTAAAAAGAAAATGAAATTGCCCAGCTGGTGTGGCTCAGTGTTTGTGTCGACCTATGAACCAGGAGGTCACAGTTCAATTCCTGGTCAGGGCACATGCCTGATCCCCAGTAGGGGCAGTTCAGGTGGTAGCTAATCAACGATTCTTTCTCATCATTGATGTCTCTCTCTCTGAGATCAATAAAAATATATTTTAAAAAATTATTTTGTTACTCTGTCCACTATTTTCCCTAGCTCATGTTTGTAAATGAAAATGTAAATACTACGGAGTAGAGAGTTACCCTTAAAAGGGCTCCTCTATATCAAGCCAATGTTTGAGTAAATGTCCCATTAAGTTAAAACTCAAAACTTTAAGTAGTTAGTGAGACTATAGTGCCAAAGGTGGGAATACTGTCTTGTTAAATAGAATTTCTATATTGACAACTGGTCATTGTTTTCCAAACTGCTGTAACTACTTTCATGGACTGCATATAATAAAATATTCAAGTTAAATGTCGCATGCCTTGGGAAAAAACTTAATAATGGCATAATTGCAAAGGTATAATTATGGCAGAGCATTGGGAAGAATTTCACCTTTCATTGCTAAAAGTAATAAATCCAAAATATAATTTCATCTATATTAACTGGGATCTATGGGAGTTTGGTCAAAATAGTAAGTGGTATCTTGGCAATAAAGTCCATGCTTAGCCTGTCTATTATTTTTTTTTATTAAACAGTAAGAGATGGATGCTGAAGAAGTATGTTTCATCACAGTCTGTTTACAGGACACAGCATTTGCAAAAAATCCCCCCCCCTTCTTTTGGTAAGATGATTTTTCATATAGATTTATGTAATATCAAAGTAGAGTTCACTAAAAAATATTTATGTGTAAATAATGGGGGAATAAGGACTCACACTTGTTAATAATACAACTTTGTTTTCACCTAGAAGCATAATCAAAATAGATAACACTATTTTGAGCATTTACTACTTGCCCCCACTAGGTTAATTGCTCCTGTTGCAAAATCCTGTCTAATTCTCATATTTTATACACATATATACACAGGCATAAGATATATATTGATTAATAATTTGGATATATAATGAAACGTGGAAAAATAAAATTCAGTTGATGAGATAAAGATAAAATAACTAGTCCCTAGGATATAAAGTTTATTTTTGTTTATAAATGAGGGAACTAAAGATACATGTGTTTAGATAAATTGTGGAGGAATTTATGGAGCTTCTTGGAAAGATTTTCTATAGAAATTAGTGATATGAGTCTGCTAAATGTATATAAATTGAATTTATTACATTTAAAAATGATTATTATAACAATATAGTAACTAACAATGTACAACTCAACTACTGCTCATATAGACTTTCATAACTTTAAGGAAAATTGTGTTTTTACTAACATTCAGTAATGACCAAACTAAAAACTTGAAATCATAATTTGTTATATTCCATTTTTTTCTAAGACAAAAGTGAAAGCTAGCAAATTAGAAGTCAAAGATAATTATGATAGCATTAATGATGGAAACCCTGTAATTTTATTTTTTTTTCTTGCCATAGAACACAGTAAGCTCTTTAAAATTCATGCCTTAAAACAGAATTTTATGTCCATTTTTCATGTGACTGTGTAACATTCAGGGCTGTAGTTTCAGGTTCGTGAAATAGAAGCAGCATAGTCTTTAAAGGTCAGATGATTGGGAACAAATCTTATGTAGTATTAACAAAGGATTATGTAGAGAATACAGGCAAAAATATATTTTTTAAATTATTGGAACACAGAATGTATTGCATTTTTTCTGTCTTAGTATAAGTAGAAATTTAAGAATCAATGTACATTAAATTGCAATACAGATTGCCAAAATAAAGAATTACTATCTAAACACTGGTAAAAAGCCATTTCTCTGTTGGCAGAGGTAGAAAATGATGACATTTTTCTCTTGGTTCATTGGCAGCTTTGTTCAGCTGAAATTGGGGTTTGTGAATAAATATTATTTGTGTTTCCAAACAGGTATATTCTCTTTTTAAAGTATATTTTTTATTGATTTCAAAGAGGAAGGGAGAGGGAGAGGGAGAGGGAGATGGAAATATCAAAGATGAAAGAGAATCATTGATCGGCTGTCTCCTGCATGCCCCACACTGGGGATCAAGCCCACAACCTGAGCATGTGCCCTTGCCCAGAATTAAACCTGGGACCTTTCAGTCTGCAGGCCGATGCTCTATCCACTGAGCAAAACCACCTAGGGCCAAACAGGTGCATTCTTAACACCAGTGTTTTGGACAGCCATAGGTAGTCTTTTGGAAGAAACAGTCTGCATAATGAAAGGAAACTGAGCTGAATGAGATAATTATTATTCCAAACTGGGTTCTGTCACATACTAGATGTGTGACTTTGCACAAGTCACTTAGCCACTCTGAGCTTCTAGTTTCATATCAAAAGATTGCAGTAATGAAAGTAATAATCTTATATGATTCTTAGATTGATACATGCCAATAGAAATATGGGGTCCTGAGTATGCAAAATTAAAAATAGTGTTCATTCATTCATCCATCTAACCATTCATCCTTTAATACATATATGTATGTATTGTTGTCAGACAAAGGGCAAATTGTTTCAGATGTAGCTGTTGATCAGCTCACAATCTCTTCAATACTTTACAGGTCACCAAAGAGATCTAAGAAATTACAAATGGAGATTATTTTCCTTATCCCCACTGCATTTAGCTTTCCTAAATGTTGTTTATATAAATTGAATAGTTCAGATTTGGATAAAATTGACAATATATATTTTTAGATAGTTGCTAGGTTCATCATGTTAAGATTATGTACATTAATAAAAGACAAACACACAACTTGACCGTACCTTCACTATGCCTTAAGCCAAGCCCACCAGCCAATCAGAGCGAGCATATGCAAATTAACCCAACCAAAATGGCGGCTGGTAACCACAGAGCTGGAGCAAGCAGGAGGCTTGGTTGCCCCAATGATGGAGGATGCGAAGGTTCCCGGCCAGCTGCTGCCTC